GGGAGTTTTTTTTAGTAATTTATATGTTATTTTTTGTGAGCAAATATAATAACATGGAAAACTTGTAATTAATTCGGCAAAATAATTGCTGGGGAACAAATGTATTTCAACCAGACAAATCCACTACTGCACTTATAATGGGGACGGTTTCTTTAATGAAATTCGTTCTTTGCTTTGAATGGAATCGAATCTAAATAAAATAACTAAGGTCCAACTAAGATTTTGTATTTTTCTATGTTTTTTTAATTATCTGATTAAAAAAAAAAACCTTGTATAAATCGAAGGGATGGGTTGAAGCAATGTTTATGGCTTTTTGGTCTAATAATGTTTTGATTATTACAGGCATTTATTATAAATATGATAGAGGATAGATAGCTAATTGTAAAAAGCGTTTGATAACTGACGATATCTATTACAGTATTTTGCTTCTTCTTTTTTTTCATCAAACAAGTTAATTAATGATTTTAATTGATTAATCCTCTAAATGCAAATTCAATTCGTAATGCAGCACAAATTTAAATCTGCTAACAAACAAACGAGTCTCATAAGTTTACATGCCTAGAGATATATGAAAATAAATAAGTATACACATAAAATGCATATCAAATTAATTGATGCTTGTTTTTCAAACGGAAGACCTTTGATTTATTTTGGGTTTGAGGTTGATATATATTATCCAAATGCAATGTCTTCATGTGGACTTGACATATATAATATAAATTTTAATATATAATGATCTTCATCACTTGATGTACTTCCAATTACACGAACAGAGACTGTGACACAAGAACTTAAAAAGTAAAAAAAAGAAAAAAAAAAAAAAAAAAAAAGTAGTAGTGTTATAACTTGTCACAAATGTGATGCAACTAATTTCTATCATTTTTCTTTCACTTGGTTGAAAGTTCACTTTCATTGTCCTTTCATCCACATGCGTCAATTAGAGTTATAAATGTGCCGATTTCAAGCTCATAGTAAGAATCGAGGAAAAAATGGGTGCAATCTCATGCAAATGAAGCGCATCATGACAGATAAAACCCAGATAAAACTCAAGTGAGGTTTCATCTCAAAACCAATTGGTGGAAGAAGAAGTAACCAATTATACTTAGACCTATTTCTCATGTATAAACCATGTGCGACAACTCACAAATGATATTCTAACACTAATGATACTGTTCGAGTTTTTGCTCGACTCGTTGATTAAACAAGTTGATAAACAAGCTAAGAGCTAGACCCACATCGAAAAATACAAAGTGAACATAACATATCAAGGGCCCTAATAAGTTAAGTAAAATACAATTTAATGAAAACATGGTAAGAAAAGTAGATTTAGAAAAAATATATAAGAAAAATAAGTTGAACAATATTTTTTTTTTCAATAATTTTTGAAAATTCATGGAATATAACTCTTATTTTATACTTAACTTCATTTATTGGTTGGAAATTTTAACTGCTAATTTTATTTCCCTGACATCATATGCTATACAATTAACTTGTATGTGATTAATATCTGATAATTGGTCCCTTTGATTTTTTCTTCTTCTTCTTTGTATTAGGTTAACCATTAAATTAAATATTGTTTGAATATTTTATTTAATGTTTTTTTTAAATCTAAGCGAAACTCAAAATAGATATATGTTATTATCTAATTCTCATAATAATTGATTAATGTATAGGTGCTAAAATAGTATGTTTGATTTAAATGTATAACTATTTTTTAAAAAAAAAATAAATTCATAGAGCAGATGAATAAAACCTTTAAAATGGTCATATCAAGAAAATGTGTGGAATTATTATTGTCTTGAAAATTCTATGTTTTTGTTTTTTTATCTTTTACTCAAAATATTATGTTTTTTTTTTCTTTGATTTTTTACTTATAATTATAATTATGTTACGCTACTTTAAAAATTTTAGGCCCCTATTCATATAATTGCTAGATTCGCCTCTGCTTTCGAATCTTAATTAAATATGTTTTGAACGAGTTGGAGCTCAAACTCTTTTATCAAACAAGTTCAGCCGACTAATGAATGGTTTGTTTTGTATAACAATTACAATCTCAACCAAAAACTATTTATAATATTTTATTTCAGTCATAAATAATGTAAAATATTTGTGCCTCCTTAGAAAAGGTATAAGCAATAGATGATAAGGATGGAGCATGCAGGTACTCAAGTGTTCAATTAATTATGTAGCTGAATTTCTTTGACTTTTCTATGTTGGATTGGTTTGGTTACATAATTAATAAGAGGTGAAATGAAACTGCTAACATTATATTAGTAATGTTATAAGTTATAAGTATGCTTACTTATTACATCTAATTAATTCCCACACTAATTACCCAACAATGGTTATTATTATTTTAAATTGTTGCTTAATATTTCATCCCTCAAAGTTAATTAAAGCATTTTTCATCACATCATCCACAGTCTAGATTATTTGTGTGTGAATAATTTTGAAGAGTGGACCACAAAAATCTGTATCGCTAGCAGTGTTACTTATTCTCATCCATTCAATAAGTGGAGAATAAAAGCAAAATATAATTTAATTATAATTAGCTAGTCACTTCATATTCTATACTTTATCTAGTTTAATTTGGTGGCATAAGTTAGTAGACATAAAAAATGCCTCAATCCAAAGCAATAATTTTTTTTTATTTTTTATTTATTGCAAATGAAAAACTACAACCAGGAGATTCCTCATACTTGTTGCCTGTTAAATATTAATTAATTAAGGGATAAGGTTAAATTTTTAATTGAATAAGGCTGAAAATTTTGGAGCCTTATCTATATATATCTGCACATGTTTAGTGATACTTTTGTCCAGGAGAGGAAAATTATTTATCTTCTAATAATAGATTATTAGTCAGAAAATATATATTTATATATTTCAATATTGATGCATTGGTTGGGTTCAGATTTTATTTATTATTGCAACTAGGCCTAGTTGATTAAAACAAAACCAAATGGGCCGAAACTGAGCTAGAATAAAATTGTTTTGTCTTGAGCCAGACATTATGAAGTGGAGATCTTATCAATAATATATAAGCAGAAAGACTATAAATTATGAAATTTTATGAGAATATCAGAATATGGATTTCACTACTTGGTAAAGAAAAGACCATGAAAAGGACAAACAATATACTTAAATCAGAATAATATTCCAGATCATGTGTTGCTACTTAAATATTATGATTATCAATTTGCATTATATGCTAGAATACACAAAGTAACAAATGTTTATCATGTGTATTTTATATATGTAGCCTTTGACATTATATTTTATATAATAAACATACTGATGAGGTCAGGGTTAACCATGCATGTGACAAATTTTGACCAGTTACATTAACTACAAGTTTTATGATTAATTTGGAAAAAGGAAAATTTGTTACATAAATACATATTTAATGTACATATATACTTGCATGCACGTGATTTCAAGCTTGTGGGGCTTGCATATCTCCAAGACTCCAAGAATGATTCCTTCTGCACATAAATATTAAATACAATACCAACCAAATCTTTCGAAAGTGATATAAAATCCAATACCCTTTTCATTTTGAGGGATGGTGAGAGTTAGTTTCATTTATTTTGCTTTCAACATTTTTGCTTCATATATTAACCAATGTAATACTTAAGAGGTTAGGGAAGTTATTTGAGTCGAACCCAACATTTTTGTTTCATATATTAACTAATGCAATATTAGGGGAGTTATTTGAGTCGAACCCAACATTTTGTGTTTGAGCTTGTGCATGTTTAATAGGTCTGCTCGGCTCGACCCAATTTGCTTAACAAACCAAAATTATTCTACGATTTTGCGTTAGCAAACATGATTAGGCCAATTTTCCGATTGAAACCTATAAAAAATAAACAAGTTGTTCGAGCTCAACTCAGTTCGGTTATTAATGGCTCAATTAGTTATTCAACCTTGATTCTAAAGAAGCAGATTTAAAACTTTCAGAAGCCCAACCAAAGTGTATTCACGAACAAATCTACATACATCTCTATCATGCAGCCAAGTTTTTTCATTCTCTCCTCGAGCTCAACTTCAACATTTCTAGAAAGTGCATAAACACATTCATACTTAAATTTGCTTAATTACTGAATCAGAACTCATACTAATTGGTTGGTTTTTAGATAATTTATTTTGATTTCGATCTTATGTGCAAAAGACGTACATAAATTGATATATGGATTCCATCCACTCCCCACACACACTGCTTTATCTGAGAGGTGATGTGAGGACCCAATCCATTTGGATCGTTTGGGCTAAGCCCAAGCACTGATAATTGGGTCCACTCTGGGCCTAACAAAAATGCACACACCAACATCGATTCCAAAATGGAGCAGAAACTACTCCTTGAGTCACATTGTTCATCTTCACACTGTTTATGCTCAACTTCTACTCATTCTAACAAAATTTCAGAGTGATAAATCATTTTTTTTCTCAGTCACATTGTTACGAAAAGGATTATTTCGCAAGCTGATATAATCCTCGTCCTGTGCCCTTCCACAATATCAATATTTCAGTTTTTGCCACATAAATTACAGAATTGTTCAACCTATTGCGAAGTCAAACAGCATACAAAATATTTCCATTATCCAAAGTTCTAAAAGGTGCTCATCCCCAAAAATAAACGACAATGAGAACCAAACTTTTAAAAAAAATTAAAAATCACCAAATGGTCAATTAGAATTATTTCCACACAACGAGAAAATATTAGCCATAACTCATAAGATCGACTTACAAAATCAACGTTCGTCTGCGGCTGTTGTCCCTTGCTTACCGCCAAAGCAGCTGCATATTCCTCAACCTATTCAATCACAGAAACGGCACATCGAGTGCTGATAAAAGACCAAAAAAACCAAAAATAGTTAAAATTAGACTCATAGGTAGAGAACTATAGCGCACATTTCACTTTCTATCAAAAAAAAAAAAGGAAGAAATTGAGGACCTTGCAGGATTGAGCATTCATGATCTAATCTGCATTTTCTCTATGGTACTTGGCAATTCTTTCTTCAATAGCAGGATCTACTCAATCGACTAAATTAACTACTGCAAGTGCAAGCAGACACTTCCTCCTTTTCAACTTCATCCAAATTCAAGAGTGTAATTTCATAATACAAGCGATATACTCACTCATGTCCTCTACTTACTCCAAGTAGTCATTGTACTCCCTTAAAGAAGGAAAATCCTCCCCTCTTTTGTTTAACTGTAAATTTAATGTTAAAGCATAAATAACTTCAAGAAATTTGAAGATTTAAGGTACATTGACCGAATACGTAATACAGGGGTCATTTGCGCAACAGCACGAGGAACAAAGAATGGGAATAGAGTCAAGCTGGGGGAATGAAGCAGGACAAACCAATTCCGGGTAAACCCCATGAAACTAGTTGCTATATAAAAAAACCAATGAAAAAAAAAAAAGCTACTACACTAGGCATGACAAATCTTTAATAGCAGCTAATGCTAAGTCTCCTTCGAATGCTTTTGCTGCCCTGCCTGCAATTTTCGGTGAACATTAACAGATTCAAGAGCTGATTTCAAAATATTTTCTAAGAATTCATGTACATTTAGTCATTCTGATCTATCATTGCAACATACGTGTAATCATAAAACCCATGAACTAAACATTATTCAAAAAACAAGAAGAACTTGTATCGAACACCTTTGTGAATCACATCAACGCAATTTTTTTTCAGTAAGGTGCTCACAAACAAAATCGAAACGAAAGAACAATCACACATTGAAACACACACATTCCCGCACTAAATCCATAATAATTTGTCCATCTAAAGCGCCAAAACGTTGAAGAACTAGCTAAAGGTCATAAGCTCATCAGCACAAGCAAGTAGAAACACAAACACAATAAAAACTGAGCGTACATGCCGGAGATTCGTTTCTGGACGGCCATTTCCTTGGCAAAGGCAATTGTTCCAGACTCCACCACTATCCCTAATACTCGATTTCAAACCTGTCCACGGATTTTTTATTTTTGCCTTACAGAAAAATGCAAATAAATTTTGTTCGGAACAAATTCTAGGGACTGAAATAGGAAATGCGACTATAATTTGCCAGGAAACCTAAATTTCAGAGGCAGACCGCCGACCGGAGGAGCGGCTGATGACGGCGGAGGACGGGGGCAACTTTCAGGCGGAAAATTATTTAATGAGCTTTGTGCTCAAACACGTGAATGGACAAATAGGAAATTAGGCTGGAGTGTGGACACTGAGGTGGGGCCTTGTGGGTGTTAAGCCAAAGTATTGGTGGGTGTTTCAAGCAATACAATGAGTTTAATCATTTTTATTTTTATTTTTATTTTTTTAATTTCTATGTATATATAAACCTCAACCACTATAGTTTTATGAAGTATATTAATTGTTAATTTACAGTTAAATATATTAATTAACAATTAATAATATTTATTTATTATAAATTTATATATTAATAAATTAAGAACTTTAAGATAGCCGATAGAAATTCGACTTTGAAGTACACTGGTCGAAATATCGACTCAGGAGACATGGTACATGAGCCTATTCGGGAAGACGATCTACCCCACGAGAGGTCGAGTCGGTCATATTGTTAGACCGTCTGATACGGAAGACTAAAAGATAATAAGGAATATTATTAAGATAATTATAAGCAAAAGTGGATATAACCACATGGCCTAACATAATTGGGCAATTCGGGCAGTATGAACGGGCAGTTCGGAGCAGTCTTGGCAGCTCATCCGGGCAGTCTTGGGAAACTATGTAACACTTCTATATAAAGGGGTGAGGTATGTTCATTTACATTCTATACACACTCTATATACTTACAGAGTTTTATATCTACTGTTCATCGCCTTTATCACTATGGACTGACTTGATCGTCGGAGTGCTAATGCCGAGATCCCCTTCCGACCCATTTTGCAGGTCTACGAATAGGTCAAAACGCAGAATCGGATCATGCAAGGCAGATTGAGGTCGTTGCTCACCACATATAATAATTTAAACCGAACATTGTTGTTGAATTAATAATATTTATTTATTCAAAATAATACCCATCATGTACACTTAAATTTTAAATAAATACACCTAATAAAAATATTTCTTTCATGTTGTTATTACTTATTTTGTATAACAAACCATTACTAATACAATCATCTATCAACTACATATTCTCATCCATCACTTGCTCTAAACTTAATCTTCCATTCACCTTTAGAATTATCTGGGATCTTAACTACCGCATGAACTGATTCAGTCATGCTTATGTTGACTCCATTAATGTTAGAGGCTACTATATAGAGTTGTTATTTTTGTTGCAAATGGTCTGACTATGTTGAGACGAGACAGTTCCAAGGAGCATTAGTCAATCCATTATCCATATAAGAAAAGACACAAGTAATTTCATGCTTTTATTTCGCGTTTTTGTTATCTAAGTCGTGCCTAACTATTATTCCATTTATATCTTATCTTCGTTTATATTTTTGAATAACTCCATCCACATTAGTTAATCAAATACGTGGAAAGATACAAATAAATTTAATCTATATCGTGATTTTGTTATCCAAGTCGTACACATCTCGCACTCGATTCACTTATATATTTTGTTATTTAAATTCATGCCTAACTCTTACTCCATTAATTTATATTCCATCTTCATTTATTTGTGTATATAATAACTCTATCTACATGAGAAAATACACAAGTAATTTTATATGCTTTATATATTTATGGCATGATTGGTAGGAAGGAATGACGTGGGAATGGAATGATCATTCCCTTACTCATTCCTAATCCCATGATTGGTATATTTTTTGGGAAGGAATGACCATTCCAATGGGAATGGCAAAACCCATCTTCATGGGATTAACCATTCCATAGTAAATGGAAGGTTTTCTCATTCCCATGTGTATAAGAATCAACTTTTCAAAAAATAAAATTAATAAATAATAATAAAAAATAAATATATAATATATATTATAAATCATGATAAAAATATATTAAATAAATTTTTTTAAAAAAATTCAAATAAAAAAATTGAAAACTTACTTTTAATTATATTTTAATTAGATATATTAAATACTTATATAAAAATAAAATTAAAAAAAAAACATTTATACATAATTTAAAAATATATTATTTTATTTATATATATTATTAAAAATATATTATTTTTTAAATATTAAAAATATATTACTTTTAAAAATATATTATTGAAAAATCTTAAAAATATATATTATTAAAAATATATTAATTTATTTTTAAATATTATTAAAATTTATTATTTTAAAAAATAAAATTCAAATAAAAAATTGAAAACATACTTTTATTTACTGTTTAATTAAAAAATAAAATATATTATTTTATTTTTATATATTATTAAAAATATATTATTTTTTATATTATTAAACAATATATTATTCTATTTTTATATATTATTCAAAATATATTATTAAAAATATATTATTTTTAATATTATTAAACAATATATTATTCTATTTGTATATATTATTCAAAATATATTATTAAAAATATATTATTTTATTTTTATATATTATTAAAAAAACATTTATGTATAATTTATTAAAAGTATATTATTTTTAAAAAAAAACTTTTATTTATTTTTATAATAAAAAATGATAATGTCATTCCATTCCAGTCATATTCCTTCTGCATACCAAACGGATCAATGACAAAACAAGTTTCATTCCATTCCCATAATCATTCCATTCCTACGAAATTTCATTCCATCATATCAATCATGCCATTAGTGTTTTTGTTATCTAGTCATGCTTAACTCGCACTTGATTCAAGTATACATTTTAGTTATCCAAATTATTATCCAATTCAAGCCTTGCATGTGTAACAAAAATATTGTTATAGTATTTTTATTACCACTGGCCAAACTTTATTTGGATGAGAAAAAAATTGAGTGGGTGAAAGTATTTAATTAAATTCTGAATATACTAGTGATGATAATGGTAACTAGATTAGAATCAACTGTCATAGTCGCGGGAATATATTAATGTCGGATCTGAATTTAATGCAATCTCATCAATTTCCCAATGAATTTGGCTGGCTATTTAAGTGGGTCTTTTGAAAGTCAACATCAATGTCAATTACGTGCCTCATGATAATGAGTGCTCACCTTTTCCCCCATTTTTGTCTCTTTCGTATTTTTTTGTTAATGATCTAATCTAATTAATCATTTCAATTTAATATTTTTCTATATTAACATCTGTATCCTTCAGTAATTAAAAAAAGAAATAAGAAGAAAGAAGTCAAGATCTATGAATTTTGTGACACATAATGCATTAACAAATTGAATTTGTACGTGGTTGTTATTTGCATATCAAACCGTGAATATGATGTTATGAAATTTTATGATTTTATTTGCAAGCAGATTAACTCACAATCAGAGCAAGGTTGCAACGGCTAAATTGAAAATTTATTGGGCCACATTTTTCCTATGATAATTTTGCAACTAGTGAAATATATATCATATCAATTAAGAGTAGAGTTGCTGAACAAAAAAGTTACTTATGAGCTCGGCTAGTTAAAACTCAAACTTGACTCAGTTCGTTTGATAAAAAATTGAGTTTGAGCTCATTTATTTAGTTCGAGACGACTCATTAAGACTCAAAAATCTAAATTTTTATGTAATAATTTGACTCAATAAGGCCCGAGTTCGTCTCGTTGAAGCTCGAACTTAACTCGAGCATATTGATAAACGACTCAAACTCATGCATATTTATTAGCTCGTTTTGTTACAAATCGAGCTCAACTCTGCACGATAAAGGCTTGAGCCCAAGCTCAAGTATCAGGTGTTTTAGCTTAGCTCGTTTACACTAATAATTAATGAATTAATAGTCGTGAAAAAAAAGACAAAATGTGTGTGATCTTGAAAGTATTTGTAGTACCCATTGATGGGGTCCAAGTAGGAAAATGACATATTTATATGAGGTTAATAGGTTAATTATGTAGGATATAGTTGTCCAAATTGAAATAATAACACCTATTTACCTAAGGTTAATAGGTAATAATTGAGTTTGTTCTTTTTTAGTACCACAACCTATTTCATTGCTTTCTTAACAACCCAACTAAATGTCTAAACACCTGCAAAATTTGATTTCTCATGAATGAACANAAAAAAAAAAAAAGGTGAAAAACTTGCCTATAATGAACAGAATTAGATATATATTTAAATTTGGATAAAGGGAGCAGGGCTCATAAAAAAATTTAGTTATTTTGTTCACTTTGAAAATTTAACTGAATCACTATTATATATAGGCCGAGCTTTTCAATTTACCAGAATCAATTTGAACAGCATATTCATGTTGTATTCAACGTGAAAATTGTAACAAAAAATGTAATACATTATAAAATTTTAATATATTATTAATTTGCTAAAACCTTACAATTTGAGGCATATGAAGTATCATTTTCCAAATTATGGCAACTTATCTTAACAAATACGTTAATCGTAGAAATTCTTCTATAATCATTTATAAAAGTGAGACGCTGAATCAACCAAACTAGTATGAGTCCCGTGCAGTGCACGGGTGAAAGATATTCATTAATATTTATAAATTAAAAATTCTTATTAAATAATATTTATAAACTAAAAATTATGAAATCAATATATTATACAATTTACCTATATTAGTTTATTGAAAATGTTATATAATGTTTAAATAGTGCAAAATTACATAAAAATGTCTATTTAAAATTAGTATACAACCAATGCGGTGGCACATAACTGATAATAAATTACATTATATTCGTTTCAAAATAAGTATCATTTCAAAATTTTTATTCAGACAACCGATTTGACTATATGTGATTTGATAAAATAGTTATTTTGGTAAAATGTTATTATATATTTAACAACCTATGTAAATAATAAGTATAAATATAAAATCTA